CCGTACAGGTCTAGGGCCACGTGGCCGCCAAAGTCCATAACTGTAAAAAACTGCTATCTGTTCAAAGGAATGCAGCTCTCCACATTTGTAAGGCTTATAGGACTGCACCTGCTAATGCCCTTTTGGTAATTTCAGGATTGACCCCTATTGACTTAGAAGGTAAATGCATTATTTGGCAGTAAAATCTCATCACTTTACCATGGGGAGATTACAGTGACTCAGATGTCGACAAAATGAATAGAGTAGGTAAGATTCCCTCCAGTTTGACCTTGATCGATGATATCAAAACATTCAGCATCGACAAAAATACCCTCCTGACTTACAATTACCACCCCTCCCATCAGCTTGCCCCTGACATTTACTTCGAAGATCCAAGTGATCATCCCATGTTTAGGATTCACACTGATGGTTCCAAGATGGGTAACAGTGTGGGTACCGCTTTTGTAGTTTACTCTGACTTAGGCGACAAGCTTCACAATGCTTGCTTCTGTCTAGGTACACACTGCTCAATAGCACAGGCAGCAAAAACTTTAGCTATTTATATGAGCTTAATTCACATTAGGTGTAGGAAGGACAAAAGACACTACTTATACTATTGCATTTATTCTGACAGTAGGGTAGCTTTACACAGGATTGCAAAGTCTGATAGCCACTTAAAACTCGTCCATTTCATACACCACATTCTCAAACACTTAAATATTCTAATATTGTTGTCTAACAATTTTTATTTTATTTAAAATTTATTATTGTGATTGTGGCTAGGACACCAGATGATGCTTTTATCATACTTTACATTTTTTTTTACTATGGAGGCAGTAGTCTAAAAGGAAAAGTTGTCTTCACGAGTTTTGTGATTTTATGAACTGCGGATAGTGTAAAACAACAGAAAGAAAGACTGAAGCAAAGTTTCATCTTTGTTAAAAGTTGTATTTATATTATATTTATTATATTAACATTAGAATAGATTTCCAATGAGTCCCAGGTCATGCGGGGTTTCTTGGCAATGAGACCACTGACCATCTTGCCAAACAAGCTGCAAAGTCTTCAGTCACTAGTACTTTCAGTTACATTCCTATCTTGTACTGGCTAAGTGTAGAAGTTAGTGCCAAGTGGCTGTAGGAAGACTTATATCTACTTAATACTAATAAAACTGAATGCGATTGAGAATCTTAATACTATTTAACAGCTAGACAGTCGGCGCAAAAAGCAAACAAACACAATGACAAACCAGACAAGACGAATGGACAAACAGAGACAAAAGAGCAAGACCTCCAAAAAATAATGTTTTTTTAATTTTTTTTTATTTTTTTTTATTTTTTTTAATGTATTTATTTAAAAAAAACAAAAGTTAACTTACTCACTAACTAAACTAACCTACAATAACCTAGGACGAACCTAACCAGACGACTAAAGCTAACAAACCCTAATCTAATTTAACCTAACCAGAAACCAAGCTACGAGTCCCTAATCTAACTTACAACTAGGACTAACCAAATTTAGACTGAAAATGAAAACAGAAAATAAGAATTGAAATAGAAAGTTGAAAGGCAGCTATAAACTGAGAGTTGAAACAAAGCAAAGGAAAGCTAATTGCCATCCATGTCCCAGAGTGAGCGCTCTCAAGAGCCCCACTAAGGGATACTAATGTGAATAGATGATGGAACATTGTACGCCTGTGAATGAGTTGGTGTGGATTGCAAGGCCAGTTGTACCCTTCAAGAATAGCAGCTCTCGTTAAACCATCCCTAATGTGATTGTACCTATTGCAGTGAAAAACTAAGTGAAGTAGTGTTTGGTCCTCCTGAATATCACAATCACATTGTGGATTGTCCCCAAGGTTAAATCTATGCAAGTATTCCTTACAGTTGTTGTGTTTTGTAAGTAGCTGAGTGAGAGTGTAACTAGGATAAAAGTGGTGAAGAATCGCAATAGTGTAAACCTGGGATTAAAGTGTAGGTGAGCCTACCAGTGGTGTCATGGTCCCAGCTGTCTTGCCAAAGAATGAAGATTTGCTTCTTGATGTGATTGTAGATGTACTATTCGTGGCAGCACTCAATTATTGGTGTTCACTACACTTAGGTTTTCTTTCAGACCCTTCGGGGGACTTTGGCCTTGTAGCCTAAAAACTGCACACCAACATCAAACATAATGGGTACTGTAGCCATATGTACACCATTCAGAGGAATCCTACCTTTCTCTACTGTCTATCTCCTCTCCCTCCTTCCCCTCCCCTTTCCCTCACCCTCTTTACTGCTGGTTAAACATCTCGTGTACGGCCGATATCTTTCTTGTATGTATGTATGTATGCATGTATGTAGAATTATTCTGATAGTATCAATATTAGGTGTTTAGCTCAATGAATTTATGAATGGTAAATTATGTTTCTGAAGTAAATTTATGAGTTATTACATGGTTGTTTCAAAAATTTCCAGATTAATTGACTTAAATAGTTCAATTTTAATGATTCAAGGAGTTTGACTACAGATAGACATATTGTCTACTGTTAATAGCAATTAATAAAAATGGATAACTTTAAATTAAATTTTATTATATAAAAAAAAAATAAGTATAGTCTAAGTGGGAATATATATTCAGGAAAGGATATATTCTATAACAAAAATCAAAATTGAAAATTTATTAAATTTATCTTTGATACATAAAACAAAATGCTTATTTCAAAAATAAAAATTTATTTATTTAGAGAAATGTTTTTATTCTTTTATGGAATAGCTTCAGCTGTACATTTGGAAGAAAATCCAGTTTGTTCTTAAAAAGATCAGATCAAACAGTTTAGAAACTTAATTCCAAATCAAAAATTAGGTTAATGGATATTCATATTTGTATAAGATTCCAATATTTAAAAATTTTAAATTTAAACTCATACCTTCCTGAATCTGTTTGAATTGAATTGAACAGAACAGATCTTTTGAAGAATATTTGGAAAAAAATCCAGTTCAAAGCTGAAAAAACAGAAAGCTTTCTCTAAATAAATAAATTTTAGTTTCTAGAGATAAGCATTCTGTTTTGTGTATTTACTATGGTGCTTAAATACTCAAGAATGTTTTATCTTTGAGATTTGCAATTTCTAAAATTTGAATTTTGCATATTTTGTGTGTTATATTTATAACACAGAATGATGCGAAAATTACATAAAATATTCAAATTTTTTAGAAAATTCCAATTTTAGGAAAAAGATTGCGTAAAGGTACACAAGAAAATATGATAATTTATCATGTTCTATAAAACACACAACAAAATTAATGTATTTTCATTTATTATATAATTTCATTTGCATGCAACATGCAGAATATTTAGATACATTTCACCAAATTTAAATAGATACTTGGCTCTTTCTACAAAGAACTGAGAAGTGTATTGATTTATGATAATTTGAAGTGTAAATGATTTTCCATGAACAAAAATTAAGAATCTAGATTTTCTTTCAGATATTTAAAAGTAATCATTTATTTATATTGAAAAGAATAAGGAAAATCTCTTAAAATACTGTATTAAAAATAACCATATAATGGTTATTAATGGTATATAATGGCTGTGATGAAAAATTTTGATATTTCATGACAGCATAATTTGCTATAACAATATTCATCCAAATAACATGATAATATTTACCATAATAAAGTTATTATATTTATTAAAATATAGTCATGTAGTTTTTCATTTAAAATAAACATATGGATAGTATTTTATATAATAAACTATTACAATAATTTTCACATTTGCAAACAATGTACACCCAATTCTGTTTTTACATAGCAGATACATTCCCAAAAAATGTGTGTGGAAAAAATACTCTCCACATACAAAAATGTAAGATTCATTTATTGTATTATTTTTCTAGCTTTTCAGACCTGGAATGAATCAATATAATAATGTTTTTAAATAAAATATTTCAATTTTAGTTAATAAATCAGAGGAGGGACAATTGTAACTTACTTATCAGCAAACTTTAATAAATTTATATTATTAGACGTATTTTATTTTTATTTTTGTCTTATTTTTCATTAAACATTAAAATACAGCAAATATCAAAAGGATGAGAGCTGGGATTTTCCTTTGGCCCAGAGAAAACTTATAGGCTTGTTCCTATCAGTATACACAGTAAAATTAACATTATTTTAAAATATAGTTTTTAAATAAAATAAAGCAGAAAATAAAATTTTCTGCTTTATTTTATTGAAATAAGACTGCTTTTTATTAAAAAAAACATTCTATGTATTTTATTTGTTCAAAAAATAAATGGTTAAAGGGAACCCACTAAGAGACAAAAGGAGCCAGCTCAATCCTGGGCTCAAACTCTCTCAACAGTCTTGGCTAAACACTATACAAAAGCTATTCTGTATTGAAAGAAATCAGAATTGCAATCATACAAACAATTTGTTAAACTTCAAATTAAATTAAATGGGGTGAAAGATTGATTGTCACTACATAAGTTTAAATAATTCCTAAAAAACAGCCATTTCTTAATTTACTTGAACATGTATAACAACTTAAAAGCAAGTTCTAAATGTTTTCTCTTTAAAAAAGAGAAAATTTCTAGAAAAGAAAGTAAATATTTTTCTTAGGATTAACACCAAATGAAGATTTTTAAAAATGCAAATTTATTGAAATGTATTAGATCAAAACAAATCATGTTAAAAGATAATTATTTTTCCAAACTGTGTTAAATCAAAATCACGTAAAAAAAATCCATAAAAATGGAATTGGGTGTATTTAACCTCACTAACAAGATATTGCAAATATGAAAATAATTTATCATACAGCTAAGAATGATAATGTGTTCAAATTTGAAATTTCATCAAAAAGAAAGAATTAGCCAAGTATCCTATTTTAGTTGATTTAATGCCAATACATAACCATCTTTTATGAAATTAAATTGAAATAAAAACTATTTCTCATCCTACTATCAATGAAAAGCAAATCATGCATATGAACAGATGCACAATGCACTTCATAATGCAGAGATTTAAAACTTTAATTACCACAAATAATTTGGCTCCCATCTGGAGTAATTATAGGTGCTGGAATAAAAATGTGCCATTAATATATAATTACATTAATAGTAACTGCCAACACCTTTTTTTCTTTTTCATTGTCTTTCTTTTAATTTTAAAGATAAAACTTTACAAATGTGATACAACTTTACCTTGAGCTCCTAGCATTGTTGCTTTCACTGTGGATAAGATGCGTAGTTGAGTTCCAATAGTAGGAATTCTTTCACATACTTGGAGAATATTCTGAAAAATTTGTCATTATTATTAAATGAAAAAATATACTTATTAAAATATAAACAGTAAACTACTGAAATTTCATTCAAATAAACGAGATTTAAACTCTTTCATATTCACATACCTACCTCTAATAATTATTCCTTTTTAGAAAGCAATTAAAAATTAATATAAATTACATAATGTTCTGAACTTTAGTTAAAAAATTTTTAAATGTTACACTTACAGTTCTCATTCGTTTATCAGTGCACATGCGTGCAAGTTCTTTTGCCAAACGAGTTACTTCTTCTGAAGCTTCGGCAATGGATTTAGCACAAGCAATGAGATCTTTCTTGGATCCTCCTTCTCCTCTAATATATAGATTAATCATTATTCATATGTCAGAAATTATTAATAATTTTAGATAATATGTATTTTATAAAAATGTATTACCTGACTAGTTGACTAAGTTTAGCCATCAGTAATGCCATCTTTTTGGCAGCTGCAATTATTTCATTATCTTTACTAGACCATTGTTTGACTTCCTGATGAAGACCGTGTGCTGCTAACTGTAAAACAATTTTTGTTTAAATGGTTTACATTTCAATAAGTTATTGAAAAGAAATGCTTATATTTGTAAAAACAAATATCAGACCATGATGGGTTGATTTGGAAGAGGAGAAGGAAAGTGAGCTTCAAATTCATCATCTGTTTCTGGCAGAGGTGGTCTTGGAGGAGCTAAGTCCTCAGTATTAGGTAAAGGCGGACGTGGAGGAGCAACTAAATGCAAAAATAATTAAATAGCTTTCACTTTTATAATAATTTAATATATTATTGTTTTATTAGAATTTATAATATACATTAAGTTACCATCTAGATTAAGAGAACTCATATCTGGTGGAGGAGGTATAGGTGGTTCCTCTGGTGTCACAGTTACAGCCTGTCTTACTTGACCTACAGCTGTTATTAACTATTGAAAATTATATTTTATTTCTTTTTTGTTATATAAAATCTCTTAAAAATAAATATTTAATTAAAAAATTTATAATTTACCGCCTTATTTGAATCTCTCCAACGTGATATGGCCATTTGATTATTCATGTCCAATGTAACAGATTTTGCATCTTGCACCATTGGTGTCACACCTGAAACAAAACAAATAATAATAAATTTTTGTATTTGAAAATGAATTATACAATGAACATAATATTAAATTACTTGATTGAAGTTGATCAGCAGCTATATTAACTTTCGAAACAAAATGCGGATCTTCTGAATTATCTGATTCTTGTTTAGCAACCATTAAAACTCTATTTGCTAAACGGGCAATACTTGAAGTGTTATCTACCATCTGTTGTGGGACATGATGAACAATGGCATCTTCACATGAATTAGTATGTTGTTTAATACAATCCTCTAAAATTAAAAATATAATTTGTAATTAGCAAATAAAAATATAAACTTATATCAAACAATCAAAACTAAAAATTTATAAAATTTTATTTTGTTACCTGTTGCTTTTATAAAGCTAACGGTGTCTGTAGCTTCATCTGCCAATTGGCGCATCTTTTGCATTGTCTCAGAATACTGCTTTCTTAAATTTTCAAAATGTTCATCAGCAGCCTGTAATATTAAATATTATAAATAAATTGTTTATAAATTGATTACAAACAGCATAAGTCATTTTTACGAATACAAATAAATATATTACCTTATTTTCAGGATAAGACATTCTAATTCGGCCTGCACTTACAAGCTGTGGTGTAAGACTTTCCAACTAAAATGAAATTGGCAAAATAAAATTTATTAATTTATTTATACAAATGATATTTTGTAACATAGGTACTGTTTGGAAGAACCAATTATCTTAAGATATTAGGATAATGAGATAAAATCACTTTTAAAGAATATCAATATCTTTATTCAATAAACTAAATGTAAATCTGCAAAACTTGTATTAAACTATTGTAAAATATGTAATAATGTAAATTATTTTAGCCTGAAATATTTTTTAAAGATAATTTAAATATGAATTTGATTGGAATGGAAACATTTATTTTAAAATATAATTCAATATCAGTATATTAAAGAATTATATCTGTTATGTTTTAAATGTTAGCATTTAATTGTAATTTTATGGCCAATTTGAATGGTCAACAAAATATCTGAACTGATACACATGGCAGACCATCTTAATGCCAATTATGTTTATGTTCAATATAGTTTATAATTTAAACACCAATTTATTATATCAATTTCAATCATATTCAAAACAATAACAAAATTTATAAAAATAACTGTTGTTTATTTTGATGACTTCATTTTATCAAAAAAATAAAAACATAAACATATCAACTAATGTTCCTTTTAACAATACTTGCTGAATGTTTATTACTGTGTTCTTGTGATGATGCAGTCAAATTAATATTAAATATGACAATAAAACTAAAAAAAAATAGCAAAATATATAAAAATATTTGTTATATTCTTTGATATATTTACCACATCAAAAAAGAATATTTTTATTTTTAATGTAACGATTATTTTTCTATAAGTGTACAGAAGAAACTATTTCAGCATGTAATATTTAAAAGAATATCAAATAATGTCTTTATTCATACAAAGTGAATTTGTTGACATATACAACAAATATTTTTACATATTTTATTGTTTTTTGAATTTTATTGAAATTGATATCAATGATTTTTGCATTTCCATGTTAAGATACTGTTCTAATTTTTCAAATAATTGTTAATTTTTCTTAATTTTAGTAATAATAAAATTTTAAATCATTAAGGAGCTTGATTATATTGATTTAATTCAAATTATAAAAGAAAATAATTCTTAATATTCTTAAATTAAAGCAATTATTTTAATATTTAATTGTATTTTCTGCACTAAAAAATTATTTTAATATTAAGAACATTCTTAAGCCAAATTATGTATATAAATACATATTTAAATATGAAATACAGAAGCTCCCTTACTTACGAATGTTCAATTTATGAACAATTTGATTGTATGTTTAAAATTTAAAAATTCTGTGCAAAGTTCTGAAGTTCTCATGGGGTAGCATTGAAGTCAGTCTTTGGACAGTAATAAATAATAAATTTTTAATAAATACTTAATGTTGATTTTTTTTATTGCATAGCTCATTTTTCATTTTTACATGAATTCTGATGTGTCATTGCTACTTGTGAGGTGACATTGAAGTTTGTAACATTAGAATATCAATGTTTATAAACTATTGTTTGAAATTTTTATAAACTTTTACAATTATTGCTTCAAAAATGTGTTCAAAACACAATAGTAAATCTACGGTAGAGGTAATGCAAAAAGTGTCTCTCTATTATAATGGAAACTAAACTTCACAACATCTGGAACCTAACCTGTTTGCAAGTAGGTAACACCTGTAAACCTATTTCTAATATTAAAATAATATGTTTTTTAAAATATAATTCAGTTTTGGTTTTTATTTTAATGTAAATTATGCCTACAAAAATATATAAAGTAATATTGTTTCCATTCCAATCTCTTATTTTGTTAAATTTTATTTATCAGTTTATCTAAAAATTCAAGTCTTTGGTTGATTTTCAAAAATTTCAAAAAACTTAACTTGTTTTTTTTTTTTTTTTCATTTATCTTTATTATTTATCCAAATTTATAACAACTACAGGAAAAACTATTTTGTTTCTTAATAAACATTTTTAAGGCAGTAACATTTTGTAATGTAAAAACCATTACAATTAACAACAATGTCTGAAATTTAAGATAAATAAAATCAAAACCTTTAAATAATCCAGCAAATCGTTTTTTAATATCTTAAAAACGCTTTCGAACGCTTTAAGCAATCATCCTCAGTTATCATTTTGAATCGAATGAAGAATTCGAAATTACGTAAAACAAAATTCAAAAAGTGGTTACATAAATGTACGTTAACATTTACCAAGTTTAAATAATTGCAAAAATTATACAAGTTAATTAAATCGAAACAAAGAAATAAAATAAAATAAAATAAAAACATTCAGTAAAAATTATCTTAATTATTCTTCCCGCTTACGTAAACTACGTCAACTCATCATAAAAGGATATCCATGCTGATGACAATCCGTCAGCATCCCTATGATTAATACAGTTTGTGTGCAACTGCGCCTTGTGAATTTCTAGTTTTTCCAGATGTTTTATGGCCTGCCTGGATCTTGTAGCTTTAATGATCGACGCCCGATCCCAAAAGACCTCGATATTCTGTTGCTTGGCAAAGGCAGCAAGCACCGTAGAGTCTGTTTTTATTTACCGAGTGCTTATGTTCAGCTATTCTTTTCTTTAAGTTTCTCATGGTTGCTCCTATGTATACCAAATTAGAATTAAATCTATGGTCTTTTAACGGTAATGAGTATATCCCTGCCATCGTGTTGCATTCGTAACTGCCTTTATCGTTCCTTAAGAGCCTGTATACGGTGGGATTACGTTTGTAAACTATCTGTATGTTCTTATCTCTGGTAATTTTTTTAACCATTCCTTTGAGGAACGGTATGTAATTAAGCATGACTCTTTCTTTATGCTTATTCCCTCCCTGAGAGGGGTGGCGCTTCCGACAATTCACAATGAGAGCATCTATTCTTTCTCTACGGTATCCCTGCTGTATCGCTACGTTTCGTATATAATCCAATTCTTTGTACGTGTCGCAGATGCTGGTGCAATGCGTGTGTGCCCTCATTATCCATGAACGAAAAACGGCGATTTTTATATACTCAGGGTCTGCGAAGGAATGACGATAGGAAGATAAGTGGGTTTCCAGTATATGTCTGTTCTGATTTCCCCGTCTTTGCAAGTTATAGATAAATCCAAAAAATTAACATTGTTTCCACTTTCCTGCTCTAGTTCCAGGGTTAATCCATATGGGTTGTCGTTGATCAGATCTATAAATTGGTTAACCCTGCGATTATCCTTCCATAAAATAAAGATATCATCCACATATCTTGCGTAAGCCAATATGTCTTCCTGGAATGAGGGGAGTATATCGTTTTCGAGTTTACGCAACACTAATTCGCAGAGTATAGCTGATATGGGGCTACCCATCAGTATGCCCCGTGCCTGCAAGTAAGTTTTATCTTCAAATTGGAAGAAAGATGTGTGGCAAATTAAATCTGCCAACTCCAAGATCTGCATGTGGTATTTCATCGAATTGCTAATTTTTGCTAACAAAAAGTCTCTGAGAGCGCAAAAGCAGGGAGGTAGTTTAATTGATGGGTACAGAGCTTATGTAACTGCTTTTTGAATTTTGTTTTACGTAATTTCGAATTCTTCGTTCGATTCAAAATGATAACTGAGGATGATCGCTTAAAGTGTTTGAAAGCGTTTTTAAGATATTAAAAAACGATTTGCTGGATTATTTAAAGGTTTTAATTTTATTTATGAAATTTAAGAATCAACTGCTTTATTTTGTATAAAATATTTAAAGATCAAACCTGATGAGTAGATGCCAATAAAGCTTCGGCAACTTTTTTGTTTGCTGTACTTCCAGATGCAACACTACGAGCAGTTCTGGCCAGTTTCTGTGAATATTCAGCTAATGCTCGAGCTTTCTCTTGAAAAGTTTCTTCTCTGTTTGGAGTTCCTGTAATTATTTTGTATTATTTTATTCTTTCGTGTTACAACAAAAAAATTAAAAATATTTTTCTCAAACGACATATATATGTATTAATTGTGTTATCTACCTTCAACAGCTAATACAGCTTCAGTAAACTGTTTTAATGGTGTACCAATATCTATAAAATCTTCCACAACCTAAAATAAACAATAAAATATATTAATTAAGTCATTCAATTATAATATAAAATATTACTTCAAAAACAGCTTTGTTACCTTGTTAACCAATGCATTTTGCACTTTTGATTTTAAGTCATATAATTTTGATGAAACAGTTCTTGCTAAAGCCTGTGCTTGTGGAGTAGATCCCTAATAAATTATTTTAAAAATTGATCATTATTTATCATAAATTTTTATTTTAATTAAATATATATCTAAATGACTGTAAAAACATTAAAATACTGTAGTTGTTAAAATAAAACAATCATATTTTTAAGTTTTATTCTCTAGACATTAATTTATAAATGAATTTCATCTCTCAAAACTTTCACTTGTGTTGTAAAATCTTTTATTTTGTATTTAAATATATTTTCCCTGCTTCTGCCCGTAACAGATCAAAGAAGAAAATATATTTAAATAAAAAATGAAAAATTTTATTAAAAAAATTAAGCTTTATTAGGTGAAATTCATTGAGAAATTGATGTTTAAAGAAGTAAAACTTAAAAATAAAACTTTTTACCATAAGAAATGCTTTTCAGTTTAAGAATTGATGGAAAAAGTGCCTAGGTGAAAAAATTTTCAAAAATTGGTAAAAATTTGTAAATTGTTTATGTTAGGAGGAATAAAGAATCTATTGATACAGAATGTATTGTTGTCTTCTGAGGTACATGTATTTAAAACATATTTTAATTATATTTTAATAAATTTATTATATATCCAACAAATTATTTTCAGTTAGGTTCCATTTTCCATAAACTATGAAACTTTATCCATTGTTGCATTTAATTATGAACAAGAAAGATACACTGTTTTCATGTTATTACAGCTTTTACTGGCTTAATTCCTGCATGAGGTGCACAAGGTTTCTGTAATTTTTTTGCCACATTATTTCATTATCCTTCCACAAACTTGGATTATGAGGTCTTTCCCTGCATTTAGTTTCCCTGTATGCTTCAAATTTTGTCCTTGATATTAGAAAAACCCATAATGTTTTAATATAAAACCTTACACAAAAAGCTGAACACATTTCACACAGAGACTGCCATGTTGAAAATTAGTGCTATTTAACAATGTATGTTAACAAATTAGCAAAGAATCTTTAAAATACAAGTATGTATTGTCTGTTTTATGGGTGTTCTTATTATATAAAACCACTGCAGGAAATCAAAACAATGAATAAATGAATGTGGCCTTAGGTATCTTATCCCATCAAATGTCTCAATTTATCCAAACAAGCTGTCTTTTTTTTCCACTCAGAGAGTTCCTGACTGAATGCCTCAGGCCATGGTAACAAGGCACTCTATGTCACTATATTCATAAAAAGTAACCAAAGAAAGTCGTCTTGTCCTTAGAGTTTCTTAGAAGAAATCAGAAGTGCGAACACACAAAACAAAGTATGGAATATAAAAGGTCAGATTGTTTATAGCCAGAGAGACTTTTGCAGAAAACCTTTTACACCCTTTAGTACTGCTTTTAGTGTACTGTTTTTGGACATTGTGATAGTTGGTTTTCAGAGGTTTTTTGCATGAGTTGGTATCAACATCTAAAAATAAGTGTAAAAATGCTCATAGAATCGAAACTAGAGATTATTCACTGTTCACACAAAGGAAAAAATGGAGTTTCTTTTGCCAGAAACTATAAGATAGGAAAGGTGAAATATCAAATATAAAAGCCAACTGACAAGCCATCTTATAATTTGTGCCTAACTTGATGCTGATGATAGGCCTAAGAAAAATTATGAAAAGATGCAAATGATACAACATATGACCGATCACTTTATTTGCAGTTCTTCAAAAGGAGAAACAATGAGAAATTAATTTTTGATTTTTTTATTACATGAAAAGGTGCAACATATGAATAGTCTTTTGGGGCTCTCCTGATTTCAAAGACAGCAGTGGTCAGGATTTCTTGATGAAAGAGAGTTATCATCCTGCAACAACATGGTGTCAATTAATTCAATAAAAAATTCATAAAATTCATGAAAAAACAAGGGATAGTCAAAGATAATGTCTACAATGTGTATGAAACAAAGAAACTGGAAGGTGCCATCCTAAAAGTCACTTGTTTTATGATGGGAATCTGCAGCTCTTGGTTTTAGAAAAAAAAATGAATCATTGCATTGGCTTAAACACATTCCAGTGGTACTCATGCATTACTATTACTATTATTGTTAATTGGAAAGTCTAAAAAAAACCTTATTATTTCAAAATTGTTGTCTATGTACTTACTGTTTACAAGGCACAAAAAAAAATGCATGGATAAACTCTGGTCTTTTTTGTGAATGGTATTAGGGTATACTATATACACTAAAGACTTTATACCAAGCATTAAAAGGCATCATGAACTCTAAGGAAAACAAGGCAATGTTGCAGTTGCTTGACAATGCACCACATCTTCCATCAGCTGATATAATAAATGCAATTGTAATAACTTTGAGCTGATTTACCTGCCACAGCATTAGTTCAACCAATGGATCAAGGCATCAACAAGAAACTAAAGAGGATGTGTACTATACAGGAAACAAACTACACTTTTTACTCTTAGCAGAAAATGTTAAATATTTTACTTTTACAGTGTTGCCTTTTACTTTCTCGGCTGTTATATATAACAGAGGGAAAGTATGGCAATCAGTCAAAAAATGACCTTCTCAAGACAGTTTTGGACTCAGGATATCTTGAAATGTCAAGAAATGCAAAAAGAAAAAGGTTGCGAGTTTTTGTGTGTGTATGGATGCTAGTGTGTATATGGGGCAAATTTTGTTCACCCTCTTTAAAGCTTAATAACTACTGTGTTTTTTGTCAAAAACTTCTGAAATTTTGTAGGGAGGTTTCTTTATTAGGGGGATTGATGCTATTAAACTTTGGTGATTAAAGATCAAGGGGCTGGGGAGATAAAGGGGGTTGTGTGTACTCCAGTAGAGTTGGACTTAATGACCATTTTACTTGTTATTAGCATTTACAACTTTTATAAAAGCTATCCCTATCCTCAAAATTAAGCTTTTTGCCATTTTATAATAGTTAAAAATATAAAAAGCTTTTTTTAAATAAAATATATTTTATTTAAAAAAAGTTTTTAAATAAAATATGACAACAGATAGTGCCACCAAATGTTGCTGGGAAAGTTAAGCAACTGGTTGCTGAATTTTTTAAAAAGCTTGTGTTTAAAAGAAGGACTGCCACTATGTGTTAGCTGCAGCTTGGAAATCATTAACAAAAGACGATAAGCTCTCTTCAGATCTAAAAGAAACTGATCAGAATGAAAAAGTCAACAAATTTATGGACTTGTTTCAATTGATATCTGGACTTGAAGATTGTGACAAAAAAAGATGCATATGAATGACTAGTGAGTGGTAGTTTTTCAGTCTTAACTAACAATGAGATTATGGCATGTGTGAGTGAAACTAATAAATCTAAAAAAAAAGTGAAAAAGAGGATGATAAGTCAGAACAAAGCAAAATTGGTCCAATGTATGCTGAGGTATTTGCTACATTAGAGAAAGCAATAATATAATATAAACAGCAGTCAGTCTTCCCCTGCTCAACTGCTTTGCTTCAAACAGATCAAGGATCTTACAGAAAACAAACAAAGTTCTAAACTTGTGCAGAGGAAATTTTAATAAAATTTATTTCTTGAT